CAGAACTAGGGATTGAACTCAGATCCTTGCGTTTGTCAGTCAAGCGCTTATCCTACTGAGCCATCTCCCCGGCCCCTTCCTTGCGGGTTTATATTTTTTATTACTTAAGGTAGGTAGCACATTTTCCTTGGACTGGGTTATGGGGTTGGCCATAGAACTTACTTTGGTTGGCTAATAATTTGTGCCAGTTCCCAGTGTAGGCCTCAGGAAGCCTCAATATTTCCATTTGTTCTCTTACGCTTCTGCCACTGCCAGGGGAAATATATCCAAGCTAGTCTTCTAGGACAGTAAGAACAGAGCTGGCCAGCCAAGCCCAGCTTAAATAGTCGACCCCTAGGCGGTCCATATACAAGAGCAAACAGAAACACTGAAATAACACCCAGGATTTGGAGACAGATTTATTTCATATTGTTGGACATTGACCAGGAATCAATTGTTCCTCAAAATGTCAGGTCTCCAAGGCCCAGGGAGGGAGGTTTCTATGGGGCTGCAAGGGTTGTGGTGTAGAGGTAGAGTACTAGGCTGTCTTTGATTGTTCTTATAATATGCATCATAGTGACTAGCTATCTCTAAGAGACAGAAGCAAATGGAACTGTAACAGGAACTGTTACCTGGGCAACTGAAGAACCTGGTGGGGGTGGGGGTGGCATTTTCTGCTACACACATACACATATATACACGTGGGTTAAATATTTCTGTATACCCTTCAGGTTTTTTTATTTTTTTAATGTATTTGGCACAGGGTCTCACTACGCAGCTCAGACTCATAGTGATCCTCCTGTTTTCAGCCTCCACAGCACTGAGGTTACTGGAGTGTGCCACCATGCCTGGTCTTAGTAGCTGGCTCAGTGTTCCCCGGGGGGCAGGGCCAGCAAGGCATGTGGTGCCGTGGATTGAACGCCAGTCCCCACACTTACCTAGGCAGGCACTTAGTCCCCTGAGCCCTACCCCTCAGGTTTTTGGTGGTGATGTTATAAAGCATTATTGCAGTAAGAGTTGACCCATACAGCAGGAAAAACAAATATGGCATTCTGCCAAGACAAATACTGTACCTATTTTAAAGGAGATGGTCATTTGGTTATTTATTTATTTATTTATTTATTTTTGGTGGAACTGGGGATTGAACTCAGACCCTTGCACTTGCCAGGGAAGCGCTTATTCCACTGAGCCATCTCCCCGGCCCCGTTTGGTTATTTAAAATATCAAAATCATTAACTTATTGTCACAGAGCACATGGTCCTACAGAGTCTCTCAGAATTGGAGGATTCTTTTATTACTATATTTCTTCTGAAGGAAGATGAATATCATCATCTTTCTGCTTTACAAATAAAAATAGCATCATCGGGGCTGGAGAGATGGCTCAGTGGTCTAAAGCACCTACTTGAAACAAGCTTGGCAAAGCACAAGGACCGCGGTTCGATCCTCCAGCACCACATGCCAGCCAGCCCCGCCCCCTGGTGGGCTGAGCTGCACACACACACACAATAAATAAATGTAATAAATAAAAATAAATAAATATTAAAAAAAAATAGCATCATCAAAAGTAGTGATAGTTTGGCACAGAACCACTAAGGTAACCGGGGAAGAAGGAAGAAATAATTACAAATAACAAAAAGACTACACATACTATTTCATTCTCGCTGAATTTAACAAACATTTACTGACTGTCAATTATGGGAAGTGGTAGAATAACAGGGTGAAAAGATCACAGGTTCTAGTCATGAGATTTGAATGTAGCCTTGCACTGACTGGTCAGTGAGGCGTGTAGGTACCGCCTGCAGTTCCTCCTGCAAGCGCTTTCTCTTCTTCCTCTTAGTAAGTGGCTGCCCAAGCTCTCACATTTCTCCTCTTTCACAACCACAGTGGCCATGCACTAGCTTTGATTGACAGAATGTCAGCGTGACTGACAGGTAGAAGAGGTCCCGAGTATGTTCTCCTGCTCTTTGCCCGTCCTTCACCTTTCCTCTCCCCCAAGGGCAGGACCGAGTTCCAACCACACAGACGCAGGCAACAAACATCCTGGTGGTGATGAAACACGGAAGGAGAGAGCTGGATGACCTGGGGAGGAGCAGAGCTTCCCAATCGGGTCACCTGTCCCCTGAGGACACTCACCTCACTGCAGTTCAGATGGCTTTGTTACTATGGTATGGTCTGAACTATCACTGATACTATGACTTCTTGACAAGCTAAACTTCTTGAATCTCAGTTTTTGCACTTGTACAGTGAGGACTGAAATACCTGGAGATACAGCTTAGCGGCATAAGCACCTGTCTGGCAAGCACAAGGTCCTGAGTTCAATCCCCAGGACTGGTAAATGAATAAACAAATAAATAAATTAGTTAATTTTTAAAAATAAAACACCTGCCTAATTAGGAGTCTAGTGAGGACTATATTAAGTACCTGAAATGCACATTACCGTGCCAAACACATGGTAATTTCACAATACGCTTTCCAAGTTCCTTGGAATTCTTATTTAGCAAAACACAATATACTTCACTTTTGATAAACTTGCCCATCATTCTCAGAATCAATGAGTAGAAGGTATAGGTGGGCATTACACTTCCATATGAAAAAGTCTCATCTAGAAATTAAGGTGAATCATTTTCTGAGACAGTTTGGGGCTGATTCATGTGAAATTTAGGGATGCTTCTTAGTAGGGAAAAGACACGGCAGAAGAAAGGACAGCGCTTCTCAAGCTTTAGTATGGGTGTGGATTCCCCAAGGGTCCTGCTGACAGGCAGAGTCTGACCCAGCAGGCTTTGGATGGTGCCTGAGTGTCACCACTTCTAATGTGCTCTCAGGAGATTCTGATGTGGGGTCCACAGATGACACTTTGAACAGCCTGACCAGGGCCTAAGGTGGAAAAGTCAGGGAACAGAGGCCTGGAGTGAGAAAGGGGCTGCTGTAATAATGTAGCAGTGAGATGGGAAGCTTGTCAGAAAGTAGGGGAAAAAGAGCATGGATTAAAGATATATAAATCCTTTATATCAAACAGTGTACAAGAAACAAAACATACCCCAAATTGCAGACCGTTATTGTCTATATGTAGCGAAAACACACAAAACCAAAGGATATAAATACGAGTGAACAAAGTACCACAGTATATTCTTAAAAATTATCTTATCATTTTTATACTATAAGCTGCAGCAGTTGAGACCCAAACAAGAAAGGTGCGACACGTCCATATTTGTCAAAATAATGGTCTCTGAGCCCAAGCCTTCCAACTCTGGGGTACGACCTGTCATCTAATGCTACCCGGGGAACAAGGCCTGAAGCCCAGCCATGAGGCTCTTAGACCTGGAGGGATCTCCCTACAGATAAGCAAAGGTTTGGAGAAGTCACCCACTAGCACTGTGTCTTTGTGGAGCAGGATTCAACATGAGTCGTCCAAAAGATGATTTCTGTGAAGTTAAAAAGAGGAAGTGATACACTGTGTCAGATGAATTCCATCTCCTTTTTTGGGAAAGCGCTTCCAGATGGATAGATCAGAGGGTTTATCACCAACACAAAATAACTGATTTTAGCAAAAATGTGACAAACTCTTGATAGCCTGCTGGATAAAGTGAAAACAAGTTTGCTGGATTGTTACATGGTTAGGTGGATTTGTAAGTGACATAGATCAGAAAATCTGTAAGGGACAGCAACTTCTGGTGGACTACACAGGGTTCAACCTTTGTTGTGTTGTGATGAACATTTTTACTGATTGGATGGGAATATAGTCAGCCACATCCATACAACAAGCATGGAATCCAGCAGGAAAGAGAATCAACATAGCCTGCACTCCAAAGCTCACACTCCAAAGGAGGAAAAAGATAATAAACAGAATAAACAAACGTGGTATGCCGGATAATTATATATTACTGTCAAGTGACTAAACGCATAGGTGGGATGCTGAATTGATAGCAAGGCAACAGAAGGTAAGAAATTCAGAGAAAGACTTCATACATCAGATAACCATGAGAGCAAAACAAATTCAAATTTGATTAAAATATTAGGACAGATTCTACCTATCTGCTGGGATACAATTTTAATAACATGAATGTAAGGCCTTGTCCTTGAGAACAGAAGGCAGCTGTTGGTTATAGAATCCAGGACACAAGATTTAGCATTCAGAGAATGGATTAAGAGTGTGGTTTACTACAGTTCAATTGGAATCCTGTGAAATGGGATTCTCAAAAAAAAAATCCAGTGTAAGGGCCAGCCAAATA